AGTCGCGTCGTCGGTGACCCGCGTGATTCCGAGGAGTACACGTACTGGGAGACATCCTCGCATGACACTCTCGCCTACGCCTTTTACAGCGTGCCGGATCAGTACAGGAATGTCCCAGCAGTGAAGTCCGCCTCGCGCATTTTCGACCAGATTCCTGACGGCCAGCTCGTGCGACCGGACAAACCGGAGCCTGCGGTTCTCCGCCTCAGCGCGGTGAAAGGCACTGATGGCACCCGGAGGAACCTCGAGAGGCTGAAGGAGGAGTCCATCAAGAAAAACGTGGTCATCCTCGGCGCCAGGAGAGGCGAAGATATCGCCCCCAGGATCGGAAACACGATCGCTACTCTGTGCGCCAAAATCGGGGACATTGCCCGATTCCTGGAGATGGGAGTGAGATCCAGGGCAGGGCCTATCCTCCCGACCAAGAGTGATCCTGACCTGATGATCCAGGCCATTGTTCCCGCACCCGAGGAGCTTCTGGACTACTTCGCCGACGAGATCCGTCAGAAGGTGAAGGATAGAACGGGCGCCTCTTCGCACTACTACAGGAGAGCATGCGCGGAAATACGCGACGCGCTCCGTGGAACAGCTGTGCAGCCTGGAAATGCAGGTGCTGTCAAGGACCCAGAGTTGGAGGCCTCGTCTGCCAGCGGGCAAGGGAACGTTACTTCGGTGATACAACTGAAGAGGTTCCTGAGCCACTACTTCGGGACCAGCGTCGAGTCCGAGGATGCCTTTTCTTCATACCTCCTGTCTTCCTTTCTCGAGGATGGGGTGGGGATGTTCGAGATCATCATCACCGTCATTCGTGACAAGGAGCGTCGGTTGCTGCCTGGTTCCGCCCGCATAGCGGCGGTAAGGTCGCTTGAAATCGGATCCGACACTGATTACCGGGCGTTTCGTGAACGATACCAATACATGCTCTACGAGAGCCCTGTTTGTCTTCCTATCACCTCCAAGGTGGTTCCTAAGACGCTCTACAAGGTGGTGCCTCTCCGAACGTATCGGCTCTACGTAGAACGTGGGGCGATCATTCGGGGTGGGCGAGCTCTGATCGAGCTCCTTCCCTCTCGGCCGGATGAGTATCAATCCCTCCGCGATCACGGAGAGTGCCCCAACGACACTGTCGACCGCATCACCGACAGCAACGTGACGGAGCTGCACACCTCGGGTCGACGCCAAAGGAGCGATCCCCGATATGTGGTCATGGCTATCGATGCACGTTTCTTCTCCATGGAAAATGGGGGCATGCATATTACTCGTCAGGGTACCTTTGCGTCGCGCGAGAACATCGCGATCGGGTACTGGAGATGCGTCTACTTCAAGGAGGACTGCTCCATCATTTACCTGAGGCCTTGGTGCTATCCGCCCAACTTCCTCAACTCCTTGAGTGATAACCCGAGGAAGTGTCGGGACGAGATGGAGAAGTACCATCAGATCACCAAGACGGAACATGTCCGCGAGGTGGTGTCCGTTCCATGCCATAGGTGCATGACGGCCCATCCGGTCGGCGCACACCTGTGCACCGCCTGCTACCTTCCCATCTTCTACGATGGCGTCCTGCCCACCGGAGACACGAACGGCGGCCCTCGCACGATAGCGAGCACTGACGGATTGGTTCCTCCCTGGCTGGCAAAATACGAGGGCTTCGTCCCCGCTCTGTGGAACAACTCAGACGCCAACGCCATCGGAATGGCCCTCTACTCGCAGAGTCCCGCCGTCGATGCCCGGTCCTTGTTGATGTCTGGGATGCGGCCTCCTAAGTACCTTGACAAAGAGGACGTGGATGGCATTTTCCGGAAACTTCACGACTCGCTCCGAGACGAAATCCTTGACGGCAAATACCGTGACACGGTCGACAGCAACGTGGAAGAGTGGGTAGCAAAGGCGATCCTGGTAAGGGGTCTGGCCTTCAACGGGAGCTCCGTCCCCGAATTCTTCGAAGAATATGAGGGATATGCGGCTGAGTGGGGCAGACGCCTAACCACCGCAAACTTCAATGCCAACCGGTGCGGTTTCTACACGTCCTACTACATTCTTGAGGCCCATATCATTGGGCTGAGAACAGGACACCTTTCTCCGATACTCCCCAACGATGTGCCCGGGGAGGGATTCAAGTTCCAGGTGAAGCTGCTCGCACAGCACTGCGGGATATTGCAGGCCATGCGAAGAAGGGCCGGTTTCGATCCTGCCGCGCGCCTCAAGCGGGCTATGGACACGATACGGGAAGGCATCAAGAAGGGGTATGTCTACACCCTCAACGACCTCAGCAGCATGGACGATCTGATCTACCGGACGTCCACCGTTGCCTACGACACCTGCTTGGCCGACCGTCCTCAAACCCAGGATGACATCAAACAGGAGCTATCCGACCCTGTACCAAGGAAATACCGCTTCCGACCCCGCGATCGCCAACGACCCGGAATTCGCCTTACACCAGGCCCCGGCGTGAAGGACGAAGACGAGCCCGACTTTGCTGGATCAGCGGAGGATGAGCTAGGATCGGATGGTTCTTCGCACGAAGATGACGAGAAGCCTGACGACCTTGACGAGCCCATGGGCGAAGACGAGGAGGAGATCCCTCCCCCTCCGCCACCGCCCCCGGCTCCTCCTGCGCCGCCTGTCCCGGTAGAACCGGAGACTCCCGTGGTGCCGCATGCAGGCGTCATTTCTGGCGATGCTGTGCCAACTCCTCCTCCTCCTCCTCCCGCTCCCATTGCGGCAGGCGTTACTACGACTGGGGATCCGTTTGAGGAAGAGGACATGGCCATCAATACTCGTGTCCCTGACACCGAGTCCGAGCTGGAGGGTGAGTCCGACCAACCCAAGGCCAGAAGGACATCTCGCGGTCGGGTCCCCGCGCCCGAAAAAGGGCAGGGGGGCGTTCAGGTCCCGCCTAGCGGGCAACCCAGCTCTAAGAGCATGGCCCAGCCTGCCCGCCCATCCCCGGTCCCCGCGAGAAGCGGTGTGGAAGGTGGGGAGAGAAGGGGCAGGACTAAGGGTTTCTACACCCAGAAGGATCCTTTTACCGGCGAGGACGCGACTCCCCGAGTTCGTCTTCGATCGGGCGGTCCCGGAACTCCTGCGTCCCCACCACGGGATGCCACCGGTTCCTTGGGCGGCCATCGCGGCTATGACCCGCGTGATGACGACAACGACGAGTGGGAGCTTCCCCCGGGTGTGCCTCGGACCACTCGTGCGGCAGATGAGTCGCGGCCCCGACGAGATGACGATCGGTCAAGGACCGCGCTTGGGGCCCGCGAGGATCGTCGTGGTCCTAAGGGTGAGGGGAAGGGTCGAGGAAAACATCGACCTGGCAAAGGAGGACGTGAGGATCCCGGCCCGCCCCGACAAAGGGATGATCGTGGCAGGGACACCCGCGGAGGCCGACGCGATGATCGCCGACCTCCTCCACGTCATGAGGAGACCTCCGAGAGGCGCGGCCCGGGGCGAGATGAGCGCCGCGGACGTGATGACCCGGGCGATGACCGTCGCGATCGCCACCGGGACCGGCGCAGGGATGACCGACGTCACCAATCAGATCCCCCTCCGCCTCGCCGACCTCCGGCTGGCGACCACAATAGGGGTGGTGGTGAGGATCGCCGTCGGGATGGAGGAGGTGATCGAGGTGACCGTGGTGGACGCCGAAGAGACGACGCGCCCAGGGACCGGGAAGAGCCTGGTTCAGGGTGGTAGACGGGTGCCGCAATCAGCATCCGCCGGTAGACGGGTGCCGCAATCAGCATCCGCCTTAGAAGGGCGAGGATAGTACGTGTGTCGCCGACAAACGCGACCGCGCCGGTCCTCCTCTCGCCCGTGCAGCGCTGCTGGGGGTGATGATCTCCATTGCCCTGTACCGCTGATCCGGCGTTGCTCGTGTCCCTCCCGCACCGCTGCCGTGCGCGCCGGAGATGGTTCCCCTGGCGATCCTGTGTGAGGCTGTGACCGCACTAGAAGTGCCGGACCGGCCATAGCCGGATATTTTCACACCAATTTCGGAGCTTCCGTTTCTACTTTCCTCCCAACTCGACTCCTCTTCCAACCGTTCCACGGCGTGCAGTGAGGCGCGGTGATCCAGATAGGATCCCCCTCCGCATGGCATCGTCCCATGACAACTCATGAACGGCACGAGAGGAATCTTCGTCTGGTTCCTCCAATATGTCTTTGTTCACTCATGTGGTCCACTCGTCAAATAATCCTGTCGCCCCGATAATTCGGGGTGGTGGCGGGATTTTAACTGGGGCCCAGGTGATGCCGTTTGGCTCACCTCTGAGTTGACACCGGCATTTTTGGTTGGTCCCTTTCGTCGTGAACTCAACTGTCTCGCATCCTTTCTCTCGTCCAGATATCGGATGAGGGGGGTGTGTTTTGTTCACGTGTTGTTTCATCATGTGGCAAAACGGCCGAATGGCCGTTTGGCTCAAGATTTGGATCCCCCGTCGGGACTTCCTTGGATTTGCGTGCGTTCGCCATAGTGCGGCGATTGGCTGCACCATCGCGGAAAAGGTCCGTGGTGTTCCAGCTGTTCGGCACTAGGAGGTGGGCGGCAGGTCGCCGAGGTGCTCCCGGGCCCGACCCGTGTCTTTACCCTCTTCTACCAGTTTCCTAACCTCCCCAAACTTGATCTTCACTAACTGTCACTCCCACAATCTGGTCACCGGCACCCTCTACATTGTGCTTTGGGACTGGGTTCTTTTGGTACTTCGTGAACCACGTGTACCTCTTTGATTCCCTGGGCTACTTCGTGTTCGCCCAAAACCGCACTTTTGAAACGGCCTTTGAGGGTAATGACCATGGACAGCAACGCATACGAGCTTTGGCTGAGCCCAAAACACCTGAAACACCCTAGAGGTCCCGCACCTTTGGTCAGGGTGGCAGTGGCAGATGTTCTGGTCTATTTAGGGAAGTGAAGGGAATCACACACGTGCTCATGAACACAAACGCTCGCGGATTGTCCCATGTCCCTGGCGGCCCTGGCGGCCCTGGCGGCCTTTGCCAAGGTCGCAACTCGCAGGACCTAATGTGGCCGCCCAAGCTTGCACCATTTCGGCGGTAGACACCGCCGAAAGACGAGAGTTTTTGCACGGAACTCTTTGGGCCGGTAGGTCCGCTGGACCCAAAAAGGCAAGCAACGCAAGAAAGGGTGCACGGTTTAAGGCTTGTTGCCTTTGCCAGAAAGACTCAAGTGGGATGGGGGGTGAACACCTATGCCCAGTTCTTTTGTTTTTTAAGTCAGAGGCATTCACGAAAGGAACAAGCTTCACGTGGGGAGTGATGAATGATGTTTGTAAGTGGCAAGGCCGGGCATTCTTCTCTCCCACTAACATGGCACCTGACAATGGAGCAGGTTAACGATGTTAAGGCGAACATCCATTTCCAAGAACCCTCCCACCGTAGTGCCATGGAAGTAGAGGGTGCAGGACTTTGTTCAAGACTCCCTCCAGATCTTGACATCGGGCGCAACCGATTGCTGAACAAACAGCCGGACAGATGCATTCTTTGGCATCGGTCGTTGATTTTGGTTCTCGGATAGGTGCAGGTCTCGGCTGGCTTTCCATCAACGACATAGCTGATGGGACAATCCGAAGGTCAGTACTTACTTATGCACTCATGCACATCTTGTATTCAGTCGAATCAGGCAAGGGCACAGCTGGGCCTGGTTTGTGTAAAACATGTCTTGGTTTCGATGCTCATCTCACGCTGAGAGATGTTCACTCACTCTGATCCGTTGGGGTGAACACATTGGGTTGGTCCCCATGCCAAATCCAAAAAAGCCAGGTGCCCTTGGTGGCCAAGAAATGTACCCTCCAGCCACCGGAGCCATTCCTGATTTTCAAGACGAGGGCATGGCTTTTCGCGTGAGAAGGACAGCAACTGCTGGGCTGCAAGCAGCGATTGCACTCACTGGGGTTGTCGTCGGGCTTAAACCTTCCTGTCATGTTGAAGTCACACCAGCAGGGCCCAGACTAAACAGGGTGTGTGGAAGTCATTTTGCCTGATCACACAGTCACACGGCATTTACCCCGTGTTGAATTGATCGAAGGGCAGATCAGTTTCCTGGTCGTTCCATCTCTCCGCTTGTCAGTCAGCAACACTGGGATGTTTGCCCCACCCTTGTCGCAAGCGGTAGGACAGGTTGCAAGTAGCTGACAACTTCAGGCTGTCACGGCGTCTCTGACAGGCTCAGCCATTCCAGACAATTGCTTTAGATGGAGAGAGCTTTCACTTGCCGCGCGATTACGCTTAGATTCTAGTCTGTTGAAACATCGCGGTGCTTTGACCCTGCGTTGGCCAAGCTTGAAATTCGATCCAAAGCAGCTGATATGCGTGCCAAGTCTGTGGACACGGGATCCAGCCTACCGAGAGATATCCCAAGTTCCTCGGAGCTCACACCAGCCTCAGGTATGACCTGCACGTCAACTTTGGTCGCCTGGGCGTCCGCCTAAGCTGGCAAGCTGGGTGATCCAATTGTTTGACGCGTGCGTGTCTTTTGAGAGCTTCTTTCAGGTTTGTTTTTGAAGGAGATGTTCCCAACTTGGAGACACACCCATGTATGTTGGAAGATTAGCAGGTCTAGCAATGACATTTGTTTGTACCGCGGCATGTTTAGCGCACAGCCCATTCTCACTGCCTGGGGTGGATCCAGGTGTACCCTTGAGCGCCTCAAGAGGCCATGACCCTGACTTAAGGCAGAGAAATACCAAGTATTCGCGGAGGTCATTTGGGAATCGCTTGATATCGCTTGTTTAAGGTTTTGGGATTGCACCACTTATTGCTGATAGTTCTTGCCAACTTGCCACATTGCTCCTTTCACCTTTCAGGATGCTGGCAAGGCCTCAAATTCGGTATCAAAGTTGTTTGTTCTCCTTTTGGTGTCTTTTTTTGGGGTCCAAGATGATGTCCCGTCCTCAAACAACGTTCAAATATATTTGCGCACGTTAGTCACATTGCGACCTTCTTGGTAGACGTAGGGGGCCGCATCACTGGGGCCAAATGTCGCACTGGGGCTGTCCTTTGTTGACCAGTTCTTCTTCTGAAGGCGGTTCCAGACCCCAATTGGCCGTGTCAGGTTATGGACCAGGCATTCTTTTTGGATTTGCCTTGGAAGACAAAGCAACGCAACGAGACATGCTCAAACCTTTGGGGCTGATGCTGAGGGATGCTTGGTGTTTGTTTCATGCATTGTGTCCCCGCCTTTCGGACCTCGAGGTTCCTCTCAGCCAGGAGCAAATGATAAAGGGTGTATCCCCCTGATATCCTGCAAAAGGCATGGGGGCTCCTCGAACTCTGTGATAGTTACGCCTATTTGCTGGGGACCACTTGCCAAGCCGCGAGAAGGAGGGTTCCTCAAGGATCGGCCCTTTGGGGGCTGATGCGATGCCACGGCCCGTTGCCTCAGGTGGGCAGAGTCCAGGCCCTGGCATGGCGCAGAACTATATGCCAGGCGCGCGGATAGAGCAACAAAAAGAGGCACACCAAAAGTGGCCGAAGAAACCGGGGGAAAAAAAAAAAAAAAAAAAAAAACAGATAACTGCTTCCTGAAACTGGTGGATGCCTTCTTGTGGCCACTGGGAGGTGTCCCTAGCATTTGGAAGCGCTCAATGCAGCGCTGGAGTCCTGACTGGTTGAGACAGGTTCCTCCCTGTGTTGCCTACTGTCCAACACTTGGGTGAGACGGAAGTTTTGCCAAGCTTGGGGGGTTACAGGCGGTGTCGCATTGATGGGCCCCGAAGCCCTGGAAGTAAGCCTCTCTTGGCCCCTTTTTGGCTATGGGAGATTTGAGATTTGCTTTAAAGACCACCGCCCATCATTTCAGCCGCTTTGAAAGTAGATCAACGTCTGTTTCCTTTCGCGCCTGGGCCAAACTTAATCCCTGGAACCTGAAAGAGCGTGCCTTTAGAGGGTTTTTCCTCATTTAGCTTCCTGGATGTTGCTTTCCCCTCTGAGCGCCCAAGCGAGGCGGCCAGATGCATGGGCAAATGCCCATGACCCCCGGCATGACCCCGGGCATGACCATGCCGATGCTGGGGCCCCAGAGGCGTGTCGCCATAAATATGGGGCCAGCCTAAGTGGCTGGCCTGGGTTTCCTGTTGCCAGAAACCTTGGGTTGGTGAGGTGGTTGGACATTGGATGCTGGCAAACTGCAGGTTGCAATTCGCGCGGGGTGTCACAGGGGCTTTGCGCCCGGGATGGAGAACCCGACTTGCGCCCGGGATGGGAACCCGACAAAAAGCGCGGACATTCGAAAGAAACTTGTGAAACATGCTGACTCGATTTAGAGCAGGCACTCGCATCAGACGCTGTAGTCCAGGCCACTGGCGGCCACTGGTGAGAAAAGGGTGCTTTGCCGTGGTTTCATCATAAGGCTGTTGAATGAACGAGATCAGGCAGACAGCAATGCCTCGAGGCATGCTTATTCATGCAGACTTCCATGTGGAAGGCCTCGCTCACCAAGCATACCAACAATATTTGCCACGAATGTTCCGCCGACCAGCGCATGGAGGTTTCATGGTGTTCCGCACCGCGCGCCGGCACCGCACCGCACCGCACCGCACCGCACCGCACCGCACGCACGCACGCACGCTACATTTTGTTACTCCACCAGCCAAGCCAGAACAGTTTTTCCCCGCATCGCCGGCAAGCGAGACTAGAATTGCTGATGTTGAAGCAGCCTCAGCGGTACAGTTTTGATCATAGTCCTCATTTGTCCATTCTCGCCCCGGCCCAGATGTTTCCTACTTGGGAAGAAGGTAGACCAAGATTAGAAGGGTGTTTGGAAGTATTCAAGGGGACCCGGAAAACCTCAGAAACAGTTTTCACCGGCATGCCATTCATGCTTTACCCAGGAACTCGCAAATGAACAATGGGATGAGCAATGGACCCTACGGCTGGTGCCTTAGTCCCTAGCTCTCGCTCTCGAGCTGGGCGCGGGCAACTTAGATTTGATCACAATGGCCCCTGTCGCGATGTGAATCCTATGGTAGGTGGATCTTCTGGCGAAATCAGAGCGCAGGTTAGTCCTAGACTGGGCGGGGGATATCTCAGTGATTGAATGGGGCGAGACATTTGTAGTTGACATGACGTTTTGTATAGAGCCGGTTGCCAAGGCTAAACAATCCTTGACACAAACGTTGTCCTTAGGTGTCAAACATGTATGTGTCACAACACGTCTAGTGGGATTGGTCAATGCGATGTTTTTTTTTTCAACAGCATGTTAATAGATTGGCTCTCACACAAATTCTCGACCTGTCTTAGGGTACCACAGCGACGTGCTGCGCCGCGGCATTGTCTATCGACTGGGCAAAACATGGCAGCTAAGGTTTTTTAGGGACAATCAGTGTTTCTGTTGGGGTTTATTCGTGAAACAAGATACCCTCACCAATTAACATGGAACCTGACAGTGGGGAGCTGGAAGACCATTTCCTTTTAAAGGAACTTCCTGTCAGGTTCCATGTCAATTGGTGGGAGGTTATTCAAAGTAATGAACGAAAACATCTACGTGTGCGTTCCGTCTCTATTGCTGGGCTGCACATTTTTTTGTTCATGAGTATTGCATTCTCACTTTGCGCGGATGTTTCAAGCTCCGAGGCCTGCCGGTTTGGAACCAGATGAACGTGCGCCATGGCTGGAGTGACCTGTTGTGTTCTTGCTCTTTTCTTTTTTTTGGGGGGGGTCTCCAACTCACCGTAGCTTTAGGTTTGGCATGTACTGTCGCCCTGTGCATGCCTGTAGCTTAAAGTAAGTTAGCTGAGCCAGGCAATCCCATAACCCCAGTTGCTTAAGCAAGCATCCGACAAGAGCATATGCGCCACCGGCGCCTTGCAGAGCGGCACAGCCTTCCAAAGCCTTCGGAGGTTTTGTGCACCAAGGGCCTGCTATATGTGCTATTCAGAAGCCAGAAGCAGCCGTTGTTTTTTTGTTCAGGATGGTCGTGTGGGTACGGGTCAGCCGTGTAAGAAGGGCATCCCATTTTGGGGTTACTTTTTGGTTGACCCACAGCCATGTTTTCACGTCAAGCTTGGCCAGCTGGTGTCACAGATGCGTTGCCCAAACGGGCCTGATGAGCAGAACAATACATGCCTCGCAGCGGAAACAACGCATTTTGCCATCAAACTTGGTACGTAGAATGCCAACCAGCTTGCAGCGGAACAAAACGCATGAACTAACAATACCATGAAAACACGGTCGTATAATGCGTGGGTCCGGCACACGTACTGTGATCTTTTGCTTTGTTAGTTGGGTGCTAGGGCAGCTTGTTGTGATTGATCATTTCTGCCAGGCTAGTGACCAACAGTCGACCACCATTCCAGCCACTGACCCAAGACATATAACGAACGAACAACCCAGATTGGCTCGCATAACTGCCTTGCACCACTTTCAAGTTGACATTAGATATCCGTGCCTCGTGACTATTCGTGACTCTTTGCGTCAGATGAACTCCCATCATCCCCCTCATCGACTCCTTTTGAAGCAAGTTCAAGTCCAAGAAGCACCGCCTGTCTCAGCCCAGGCAGAACTCTGGTTTCGTCGACCCTGGCCAGAGCGCGTCGCAAGGCATGCAGCAGAACATGCCGCCACAAGGCATGCAGCAGAACATGCCGCAGCAAGGCTTGCAGCAGAACATGCTGCCGCAGACCTTGCAGCAAGGCATGCAGCAAAACTTGCAGGGCATGCAGCAGGGCGCGCAGCAGGGAATGCAGCAGGGCACGCAGCAAATCTTGCAGCAGGGCGTGCAGCAGGGCATGCAGCAGAACACGCAGGGCATGCAGAGGGCGCAGCAGAATGGCAGCCAGGCTGGTTGGATCGAACGGTTGACTGCAGTTGGCAGCTCTCGGCCAGCCATTTGTGCCATATTCGGGCTTTGGCGAGGGGCCCTGTGCTCCGGGCTTCCGTCTTGCCAAGAAGTAGCAACTTAGCCTGACCACTGTAGTCCTTCTGCGGAAGTACCCTCTCGGCAAGGCTTGCGCGCTTCTTGGACGGTGGCAACCTTGTTTACCCAACAGCATGTGGTTGTTTGGTTCGTTGTTGGATTGGTTGTTTGGTGGGCGGTTTGCTGGTTGGTTGGCTGGCTGGCTGGTTGCTTGGTTTCTTGGTTGGTTTCTTGCTTGCTTGGGGTTGCTTGGTTGCTTGGTTGCTTGGTTGCTTGGTTGCTTGGTTGCTTGGTCGCTTGGTTGCTTGGTGGCTTGGTTGCTTGGTGGCTTGCTTGCTTGGGTGCTGGCTTGCTTGCTTGGGTGCTGGCTGGCTTGCTTGCTTGCTTGCTTGGTTGGTTGGTTGGTTGGTTGGTTGGCCGCCTTCTTGGTTTCTTGGTTGCTTGATTGCATGGTTTCTTGGATGGTTGGTTGGCTTATTGGTTGATATATTGACTGGCGAGTTAAGCTCCCTAGGTAGTACCACTCCCCATCCGCCCATGCAGCGGAAAGCCAGCAGCTTTGTTTCTTCAACTCGCCGCCGAAAGAAGCCAAGATCCTCCAGTCCCCAACCAGATCCCTCCTGGAGCTTGGGCAGATTGGCTTGCCATTCCTACGTTCATCAGTCATCAGCACAAGGCCCTGGTAAGAGACCATCATTTCTTACTCTTAGCTCCAGGAGAGCCTATTAAGCCGAAGGGAGAGGAAGCTTGACAGGGCACAGTCCCAACCATAATGAAGGCAGCCCCCTTTTAGACCACGTTTTGGTTCGGCCGAACCTAGAGCCAGCAGAGGAGGCATGTGCAGAAGAACAAGCCCTTGAGCTTGTTATCAGCAGGCAGGAAGCAAGAAACCCATGGGTTTCATACACATTTCTCCCTTTCAAAGTTTGGGCATTAGGAGAAGTCACTTGGGTATTGGGTCCAAATTAAGCCCTCAGAAAAAAGAACCACAGGAGTTCAAAGTCCATGTTTCCATCTACCGAATGGAATGCATCCTTTTCGGGACCGCCACGGATTGGTTTTCGAGCCAATAGGCGGCGCCGGAGGCACCGCGCGGGGCCCGGAGGAACTCAGCCGTCAAAAGCGCGAGGGCGTGGTGCTCTTTGAGGGTACCCTTGTGGGATTAAAGGGGCGAGCTTTGAAAAGACCGTTTTATTGTTTTGGGGGGAATGCACAGATTTTGTTTAAGGGCGGCCAAGGGGGGGTCTTAAGTTGTGAAAAGGTAAACGGCATGTTACTTTCAAAAAGGGTCGCTGGCATTGTTCCAATGGCTGTTTCTCGAGAGCTGGGGATCCTTGCGTTGGTGGAAACCTATGTCCGCTTTGCTTTTGGCAGTCCTGGTCCGGTCCAGTTGGTGCACGGTTAGAACATCCGTCGCAGGGACACTTGGTTGACAGGACTGGCCGAAATTATCCGAGGGGCTGTGCTTGGACCTGCTAGGCTGCCAACCAAGAAAATTCACTTGGCAGATGCATTGCCAGAGAGGTCCCAAGTGCTTATTTGATGCGGAAGCACTTCATTGAGAATGTCTTTTTCATGCTTCAGTATCCCTGCTCTAGATTCTGGCTTACCGGGCTACAAGCAAGGTGTCCCAAGGGTTGTTTGTGTTGCGACGTCTTCTGGGTACTTGGTTGCGACGTGTTCAACCCACCCCTGGTTGGGCAAACATCCAAGGCTAAGAAGGAATGCCTTGTTTGGGCAAACCATGCGTTTTAAACCTGGCGTTCAACCTGTGACCACATCCTCAACAGAAACTTGCTGGCCATTTTTTGCCCTGGTACTGGCTGCTGTGAAGTAGAGAACCCTCTCTTGGGCTGGATAGCCGGCAACGGTTCAGGGTGAGCTCGAGACTCCGGGGACCTGAGGCCAGTGCAAAGCCAGTCACGAGAGGCAGGGAGTGACTCAGTGACTGGGTGACATAACAGGGAGGTTGGCAGAAGCGGTCCCAATGTTGTCACTGCCACGCTTGGTGCCATGTCATTTCAAGTAGAGTCATTCTAGCACCCGTGCTCGTATCGGATCCCTCTTTCTTCAGCCACCGGCCAGATCAACCTGTGAACCATGTTTCTATCAGATATGGCCCTGTGGCCCTCTATCGGATTCCGGTGAAAACAGCAACAGATGATGCAAGATATTTAATGCCTCTGACCCGGACAGCATTTGTTGGCTATGCGGGTATCAGCTGAGACAGAAGACAAGCTGCGCTTGCTAGACAGACTCTACCTGGGTCATGGCAAGACAGAGGTTGAAGATTTGGGCAAGCGGCCTGTGTCAAAGTCAGATGTAGATTGTGGCTCGCAAGTTGGAAGTTTGATCGTTCCGCTCCGCCATGAATCGCCGTCCTTTTTCGACCATGTCACCTCTACCGCCTTGGGCCTTCAGGAGGACCAATGGATTCCCCAGTGTCGGTCCATAGTCATTGGCCCACAAGTTTGTCCAGGCCACCATCCCAAAAGCTCACAAAGTTGGGTGTTATGCCACTTTACCAGCAATTGCTTCATGTTTTAATCGGAGCGGGCGGTTCGGCTCCCACCTGTTTGTCCCGGACGAGTTTGACCTGCTACACCTCACCACGCATGATTTACCTGTGCCATTGTTTCAAACATATGGCTGTGGGTCAAAACCAATGGTACCATTTTGGGGTAGGTGCACCACCCATTTTAGTCCATTTTCGTGGGGATTGCGATGTTGACTGGGGTACGATTTGGATTTTGACCCATGGCCATGTGGATAGCTGCTGGCATCCGAAAATGTGCCAGTGGCGCACAGGCCAATGGTGCCAACGGTGACGCGGGGCAGCGGCCCCAGTTCAGCCCATGGCTTTGAAGCTCGGGCCCAATGTCCAATGCCCGAGTTGCAGCTTTGGAGCTGGGTCATTGTATGCCGGTGGCGTTTTGATTCGCCGCCAGTCTGCCCATGTCTGCCCATGTCTGCTCATGTCTGCCCATGTCTGCCCATGTCTGCCCATGAGTCGGGCATCGATCGTTCGCTTGAGTTTGAACAGCTAACATTACGAGAGGCTGAAGGAAGTTGCGACTCTTGGGAAATGCCGACATCGATGCCTGGGCTCCTAGGCCCATGGCCTGATTCCCTCTCATACCCAATCTAGGGCGTCAGTTTCAACAAGACTGCTTTTTCTTCTTGACTTCCCTGCGTTCTCATTGGTGGCAATAGATGTGGAAAAGTTTGGCCGACGACAAGCTACAGCAAAGATACCGAAAATGCGGAAGCACAAACACAGACAGTTTGGGGTTGGCTTAGACAGATCTGACAGGAATTCGCTTAGGGTTGGTTTAGGCATGCTTTGGTTCACCCTGGGAATTGATGGGGATCATCATCGAGGATTTCCATTCCAAGTTGTCAGGGAGCGCGGCCGGGCGCTTTGCCAAGGGATCGCCAGGGATTGACGGGCAGCTGCAATGCTGGATTGCACCAAGATTGCATCAAATGGCAGCTAGCCTGACATCGCTCACACACATCGCTCACGTTTGCCTGTGTGACTTATTCCGGCCTCTTGATTCGCATGGCTCGCTTGAAGGGTCACCGCCGAGTCCGGTCGGTCCGAGGCAAGTCAGCAAAGGCTCGGCTGGTCATGCCAAGGGAACTTGTGCGGTGGCCCGGTGGCAGGCCGAACCCCGAAGCGAGGCTGTGGCATTCCGTTCGCCTCCCGTCACGGAACTTGACTGAGGGGTCCTCTTTGCTGGAAAGGGGCCCTTTTGTGGGTTCCGTGTTAGTGGAGAGGAGGGGAGGTGCTTGGTCATGGTTGGAACTTGGTTGACCATGGTTATTTTCATTCCCATGTATTGCCCAGATTGGAACAAAAATTGGCCCAGGACCAATCGGAAGTGAATTGGTTGAACAGGCACGGCGGTATTTCGCTGCAGTTCCTGATATTTGTTTATCCGCAGGCCTGCCTTGACGAGGTTCCATTGGGGATAGGCCACCAGACTTGAATTTATGGTTGAGCATCCAGGACTATGGGGCACACATAAATTCGACTTGACCCATCCGGTATCACATCGCCTCACTCGGACAATATGTGCTTCGCAGCATGTTGGATCGCCGAACGTCACCATTTGCCAGTTCTCAGTGGCTCTGCGACAAACTCGAACAAAAAACTGGCCGCCTCAAGGCCGGCCTTGCCACTACTTCCACTCCCGGCAGTGGGCTCAGCACATGCAAGCCATGTTTGAAGCCATACTCGCAGCTCTCCCGCGGATATGAAGCAGCGCAGGTTGAGGATTCGATTTGTTGATGTATCCCTACGCCCTGCCGATTCAGCGCTTGTCTTTGTCTTGTTGTTTTTCGTTGTGTGGGGAAGGACAAGGTTTGCAGGAGCCAACCTGAACATAACACTGCTCAATCCCAGGGCTCCTGCATTGGAGTGCTTGAGCAATGGGACAATGTCTGCCCAACCAACGGCCCTCTGCCTCGCCAGAATTTAACTGTTTCCCCGGTGGGACGCAAGGCAGAGGCAGGGGGGCGGGAGCCTGTCCTTGCAATTCAGACAGTCATTTGTCCCCACATGTGGGACAGGGGCATTCTAAAAGTTTACACTTTCTTTGGGATTATGCTTGTCCTATTGGAGGCCGCCTATTTGAAGGCACCATGGTTGGGAGGAGTTTCCTGGGAAGGCAGCATGGTTTGCATGTTTGGTGCGGCCATCTCACTCGCCAGTCTGGACACTAGAACTCCGCGTGACGCGCGTGCCGGAACGTTCAGCCGAACTTGGACCAACCCACCCAGCTCATAGGGTTGGGACATGTTGGGAACCCGCAAAAGCCCAAACAACATGACATGCGTGGCTGTGACGGGAAGGCCAGGGGTGGGGCTTTGCATGAGTCCACGAGTGGAATTTCGCGGGACTTGGGTGGCAGGGAAGCTTCCTAAGGACTGGCTGCGCCAACGGGGACCAGTGCATGTTTTGCCACCTGAAGCACCCGAAAAGGCGCGCCACCGGAGCGACTGTCGGGATTTGGGGGTTGGGTTGGGGGAGTCTCATAGCCAGGGGCACGGGCTGTTCCTATATGTACGCAGGACTTGGCTACATCTTTAAGGTGCTACGTGCGATGTTGAATGCATCCGGCCACCAAGCATCGGCTCAGCAACTCAATCATGCTAAGGGTCCTTGAAGGCCCAAGCGGCGTGTCAGGTACTGCTCTTGGTGCCCAAGCATGTGTTTTTCATGTTACATCGGCGATTCAGGTCGGGTGAGATGGCGGGACCTTTCAGTGCAGCCGGCGTGTGCTGCTTCATGTTCTGTTTGATCCAGAGGCATCCTGTTTTCGTTGGGCACTGCGAGAGTTGGGTTCGTTTCAGGGCGAGGTGCATGCAGCATCGACACAGGCCTGCTTATAGATATAGGCTTTCATGGATGAGGGGGCTTTCCCGTTGGAACTGCGAGCTGTGTGGTGCCAACTCCGTATCCACGGCCTCCGGCCTCGCTTGACTTCGCTGACGATGAGAACAACGCTCGATTTGAGTCGCACAGGGGCTCATGGCAACTATGTAAGCAGACACTGGAGGAAGCAGACAGCTCTTTCATTTGCATAGACATGGGTTTTTCTAGAGCAGTCGGCCATGGAGGTTGCCTCCACTTTTTGAGGGTGCCTCAGGAGCTTGTGTTGTCCGCGTTAAAGGATGTAGCCATTTCCTAAGTTGACATAATTTGCAGGTTTCAAGAATCGGAGCTTGAGGGCTGCTGTGTTCCTTGCCGACATAAATGCCACAAATTTAGCCACAGTTGCTCGCTCTAAACTTCAGCTTTTCAAGCTGAAGAAAGCACAACCCACGGCTATTTGTATGCCGCCAGATCCGCCATGTTCAACGCTTGATTCTCCAAGCGTGTGGCCTGAAGATGTGTACATGAGGCCCCCTAGCGGCCCTAGCGGTCCACACCTTCCAAGGCGAACGCTTGATGCACCTCCGCGAGGTCCCGGGTGCGGATCCCGAAGCAGTACCGCCAGCAGTGCCGGGCGCTGGCGCAGCTGGTGTATGACACCCAGAACTGCGAAAAGGCGGCGGTTCGGCGAAGGGAGCGGCGAAACGTCTTTTGATGTCAGCCAAGCCCGAAAAAGGGCACTTTTCAGAGATACCCAACCGGCTTCCCTATGGGCATACGACTTATTGCCGTGCAAAAGGGAGGCGTCAAAGTGAATGGGGCCACGCCTTTGCCCCTTTAACCAGTAGAACTTCCATTCTTGCTGCTGTCTTGGCCACTCATGTCAATACACATGTGGGCAAATGACTGGGCCTTCTTTTAGGTGGCTCAAGGCCAGTCCCTGGTAATCAATTAAACCTGGGTGGGTGTTAAATGGTTGACATGATTCAGGGCATTCATACAATGATGTACTGGCAATTAAACCCTTCGAAACGCATGCTAGGAGGGTTCTGAAGAAAATGTCAAGAACCGCGATATTGCCCCATGCCCACTAGAGGCAGTCTTGACCATGACAAGCATGGGAACCCCGATCTGCAAGAGCTGAAGTTGCCGCAAGGACACGGCCAACAGCCACACGCTCAAGCACGATCGATCTTGTTTTGGGATCGCGTAGGCATGGATGCAGTTCACATTTTCCCGCAACCTTTCAAGCCTACTTGTGGCTGGTGTCTTCTTTCGATCTGGGGGCTTTCTTTTGTTGCTTTTGAATGTGCAAGGCCAGTCAAGGGTAGGCAAGGGAACCTCAGTCCAATCGGCACTGCCTAGGGCTTCAAGAACCTGTAAAAATGTCGTACCCTGACTAAAACATCGTGTTTTTTCTCGATTTTCTGAAAACATCGTGTCTTCAGGAAAAACATCGTGTTTTTGATAAAACCCCTTAAAAATGGGCTTCTGAGGCCAAACACTCATTTGGAGCAAAGGGTCAAAGGCAAGGGTCGGGAGTGGATTCACACAGGCATCACCCTCTAAGATTTCAACTGAGGGCAACGCTCTATACTGAGTATGCTTCAAATTCTAAGGACCACATTGATGAGCCTGACAGCCAGGGTGTGCAGCTGGCTTCAGTCTTGAAGCACATTTCACAGCAACAGGCACCTGAAGACTGGCGCCAGGTCATACCGAACCAGTTTGAAGGGGGTGCTGGAATCCGAAAGCTCCTTTTGGTGCAAAACGTGACCAGGTGACACCTGTTGAGATTGTTTTTATAAATTTTGAGTTTTTTTTAGAAAATAAGGCGGGATCCTGGCGGCTAACCGCAGAAACCCGTAGAAAACCCGTAGAAAACCCGTAGAAACCCGTAGAAAGCCCGCAGCCCCAACCGAAAACATCGTGTTTTTGGAAACATCGTGTTTTCTGATCCGTAGCTAAACCGTGGAGAACCCGTAGTAAAGCGTGGCAAACCGTGGAAATTCTATGGGTTTTTCGGGTTCAACCACGAATGCGCTAATTCGAGAATGTTGCTGGAAAACAACGAAGTCGTGAGCAAAAGCACGGTCTTTGCTTGAGCTTGCGCGCTGTTCGAAGCCAGCAAGCCCTCATCATGGCATTGCTGCTTGACAAGTGTCATAAAACCGTGGTACTTTTGACTATTTGGGTCCCCGGCCTCCTTCTTTCAGATTGGAGTTGCGAAAGACGAGTGGCGAATGCGAAGCTGATTTCGTTACGAGCGCAAAAGGGGAGGGCGATGGGAGATTCTGAGGTTGAGATGATGCTTTTGAGATCTTTTGAGAACGGATGACGAGTTGAAGGAATGTATGGGAAAATGCTTGAAATCGAAAATGCGGTGTTTCCCGAAAACATCGTCGTGTTTTCCAAAAGAAGCATCGTGTTTTTTGTAGGTATGACATTTTCATCGGTTTTTGAGGCTCCTGGTGGTTGATAGTCCCGGCGAGATCGGCGAGTAAGCGAAGCGTTTTCAAAGGAATCAACCAAATAGCCGGCGTGAATAGTTTTCCTCGGAAGATGAACCTCGGTGCATTGACATTCATCAAAACCGACCACACAAATCGGCAACTGATCATAGACAGGTACCGAAAGAGTCCGATCAAGGGTTCCGTCTGGCGAGTTAGCGGTGGCTTCGCGTCCCTGAGCGGACATACCCAGCCTGGAGGTTTACCACCAACCAGGGCCACCGCTTTGTTTGTGCTTCATTTCGGCGTACACGGCGGGACTCTATATCGCACAAACCCAAGGACCAAGTGTGAGAAACACCCACTAGCAAATGACCCCTAAACTGGCAAGATAGGGAAGCACGACCTAGCAAGCCTCATGTCCAACACGCACTTTGTCTTTGAAGTGGCTAAAGCGCCGGGGCGGGCCACTATGCAATTCAGAGGGGGCGAGGGAGAGAGAGGGAGCCTCAAGGTTATGTGCCACATCTCAGCGTCCACTCAATTCCGGTGTGCGCCTGCCAACACTTTGGCCCCACGAGCTGCATAAGATGAACGTATCTCTCCATGCCCTCATGGTTGCCATCGTCAAAGAAGCCAGCCAGGGATACAACACAGAACCCCCCAAGTTTCTCCTTTGTTGGAACTAGTCTTTTTTTCTGCTAAGAGGTAATCCTCATCCAGCTGCGCGGAGTGCCGCGCACGCGTTAGAAGCCTTGGCTTGCGCATGCGGTTGCAAAGCAAGTGATGCAGTCCGCAAAAGTTTCCCCCGATCTTTGCTCTTGTTTGCTTGCTTGCTTGCTGGCTTGTCATTTATTTATCTTTTTCGTGCGGAAGAAGAGCTTGCTTCTTGTTTTAAGTTCGTTTGTTTCCGCATTTCCTCCGCTTCCATTTGGCGACGCTTCGGAACCGGCTTGAAACATATGGATGCAGGACCTGCGGCAGGAGATGGAGCTCCAGCTCCTGGTGCGCTCGTTGCGGGTTGTGGGGAGGGGGGGGGACTTGGGTCTTGCTAAAAATAGGGGCACCCATATTGGGTTGGTTTGAATTGGGTTTGAGCTCTTTTAACCATGGCTTGGAAAATTGGAGAATATCTGAACTGCTCAACTTGGGCTCAGCTTCCCTCCAAAAAAGTGGGTGGTTTTGGAGCCGAATCGGTGGTTTGGATTGGTTTGGAGGGGTTTGACGGTTTCCCCTTGACCTAAAGCCGGAAGTTCAAGTCCAAATCCAAACCACCGATCCAAACCAACAATTCGTGGGTACCTGATGGGTCTTCAAGTTAGGGAGACTCGCCACATCCAACAACACACCAAACGCTTGTTTGGCATGTGCTGGAAGAAAGCAGCAACTGTTGGCGTTTTGATGCTCAGCTGAGCCTTAGTCGTACGACGTCACTTCTGAGGTATGTGCCCCTGCTACCCGCGTTGACATGCAATGGGAGTTTGTGTGTCAGCCTGAGACCTCTTAAGCAAAGGCGATGCAAGTTGCGGCCTTTGAATCCCACTAGTGTGTCTCCATCACGGGCCCATCAGGCATTTAAGAGCCACTCAGCTGCTTGGCTGATGAATTCTAAGGAGAGCGCTTTTTCATAACAGGTGAAACGCGTACAGTGAGCAGGCTCAAGCCGGTTTCAAAATTGAGACGGGGCCTTCCTAGAAGCGGACACCGAGCTCACAAATGGCCGCGCCCCTCTTGGTCTTCAAGGGGAGCGAGTCATAGCTGCCGGCACCCCGGAGAGAAAAAGCTCCTTTCTCATTGACCCCGGCTGTCATGGTTTTTGGTTTTGAGAATGTCTGTTCTCAAGAAGCCATGTAAGCCATGTTCACTTTGTCCGCGCCCCTTACCCAGAGGAGCAACGCCTGTGGCAAAGCATGGTTTAAGGACTTCCAAGGCCATGGGAGAGGCCGAGTTCAAGGCCGTTTTGTTTGTTTTCTGGTTCTTTGTTTTGTGTGTTTGTGTGTTTTCTCAGGCATTTTGGAGATGCGGGAATTTGCTTTGCAATCTCTCCACGACATACTACTTCTCAGAGTCATGTTGGCGAAACTTGCACTCGTGCCAGATTCAAACCAGCTTCGACCACAGATTGACGGCGTGCCCCATGCCGATTTGTGCGTGAGTCAGCCATTGTGAGGGATACCGGTTGGAATTTGCCTAGGTTGGCAGAATGGTGGCTTTGTTTTGGAATCATCCTTTCAAGATTGTTCAAAGGTACATCAAAACATGGCGCCTGGTGCCGATACCAACGTTGTTGTTTTTTGCCTAGAGATGACAACCGCTGCGTGAGAACGATCATTTGAGTTGATTCCAGGCGCTGCAATTGTGATATTTGGGGCAAGATTGTGGCTGCCGTCAACAATTTGGCAAAGACAATGCACAAAGTATGGCTGCAAGCTCAACCCAGGCTCTCCCGGCTTGCGGGTAGTTTGCCCCTGGGCGAGTTTCGAGTTCACGCTCAGTACGGGCAGGGTGTTGGGCAACGCTCATTTTGTGCGTTTGGAGCCAGTGTTCCTAACTTGTCGTCCTACCACTGGCCTTCAGGTACGCCACTTCCGTATTGAAGAGCCTTCGTGGAGGAGCTGTGCTGCAGGACTTCCCGCAGGCAGTTGGAGCACCTGGGGAGGGATACAGATGAGAAACATGTTGCCAGTTTACCTTTGAACTTGAGGATGGCTTGAGTCAACAGTGTAAACCACATCTTCCTACAGGTAAACCCTCGGGCAAATGTGTGGGCTCGTGAGTCCATGCGGATGTTTTGGGGTGGGTTTCCTGACAGGTTTGTGAAGCAACAGATTTGCTCATCAACCAAAGGAGGGCCCTCAGTTTGGCCCGTGCCAGCGCGTACCTATCTTCCTGGGCTGAGCTAGCCAAGAGGCACCAAGATCGGACAAGTCAGCTATTTGCATGGCGATGACAGTTGTAAAACATAGTCATTTATTGGGGGGGGCCCGCCGTGCCTGCCAGTGAATCCATGAGCAAGTGTTCAGGGCAGTTATTTCGCCCACGTCTGCATCTTGCACAGCTGCAAAGAAAAAGGCATGCCATACGCTAAATGTTTTGCAATGTTGTTCAGTTGCAGTTGCCGAAGTCCACCTGAGTTTGCTTGAAGCACAAGTTACTTAGTCTCAGATCTGCACCTGAGAGAAAGCTTGGATCTCAGGAAATACCCAGAAGTTGTGGCACCTAGTGATTTCTCGAATTGATTCGCCGATTCGCGAGGCCGGGCGTCGTGCTCAGAAGTGGAAAAAAGTCAACCCGACAAAGGCATCGTTGCCGCCATGGCAAAATGTGCGACTAGGTAAATGTTCAACCCTGCACCTTCGTTGCAGAAGGCCCTCAAACTGGCCACGAGCTGAGCTGTTCTCATAAAGCACTCTTGAAGCTCAAACCCTGAAATGCCAGTTTCCCGCGCACAGGGCCTCGCTGTTGACGCAGCACAGGCGCGGTCCGCATGGGTGGCACTTGGGTTCCTTTCCTTGGTCAGTAGTGGACCGCCGGCATCCTAACAAGCACAAAACAAAACCACTAAACCGGTAAGCAGCCGGCGACAGGAGACAAGTTCACGTCCGACGTTTCGTCTGTTTTTGGCCTGGTTGCCGATCATTTCGTGCACCCCAAGGGGCCTAAGCCTTAGACCCCCCTGGACCCCCGTAATGTTTGAGTGTTCTACTCGCTTGCGGGTGAGTAGGCCACTATGGGCTCCCAGCTCTGCAGTTTTACCTCTGAAGGTTCGACAAAAGGACTGGGAACACCAGCCCGGATTTCTCAAGGCGTTTGCTTTATGGTTTGACTTGCCTAGGACTACTTTGTTCATGCTTGAATGCTTGTTGTTGGGCTCCAAAGGTTAGCGTGCTGCAAAACAAGCAAGGGACCGTCCCATCCATTTGCCTACAAGGAAGGAAGCCAAGCAATGTGAGACAAGCAAGAGCCTGGCAATCTGGTACTTGAGCCTCAACTTCAAGACTTCAACAGGTGCTTAAGTTCCACTGAGCAAAAAGAAAGAGGACCCCAGGGTTCGTGAAGCGGGACCCAGGTTCGTCGAGTTCTGCCTTGAGCCCCGGGGCTCCCCTGTGCATGTCCCTTGTTCCTTTGTCCCTGGAACTGGGCCGGTAGAAGCTCAGTGAGCCCGCCAAGCAGCATTCTGCGTGCAACTTTTGATGCGTGTTTGATGTCAACTGTGGACCCTCTAGGCCCTGTGTACTTCATGGGGGGTTGGCACACTTTGCGCCTGCGCCACGTACGTCGTGGCTCCCTATGTTGCCATTTCCGGAAAGGCGAAGTGACAGCGACTCGAGGACTAGGCGGGTCTCGCCGTGGGTGCCCAAAGTCACTGGATTTCTGGTGGCAGGTGGATTTCTGTTTACTGGTTGGTTGTAATGAAACTGCAACTTTTGGAGTCCCAAAGAGGAGTTTCAGGGGCTTGTGTTGTTTCCCTGGTTCCTTTTCGTCCCACTGAAATTGGCATCAACCAAAGGGGTGCCTAAAAAATGGCCCATTGGCAGTTGCCTTGATTACAATTTTAGAATGGCAATTGGCTGGAAACCTCAAAAGGGAGTCCCACAACCTCTTCTTTGTGGAGAACTCTTGGGGTACCCCTTTGTGAAGTTCCATGCCATGTGCGCTGCATCACAGCTACTGCCCTTCAGGAGTTGTCATCAAGGCATGGGTGGTACCTCGCTGGCTTAAACCGAGCCATCGTCATCCTTTGAACTCCAATGAATCGCTGCCCTTTCGCAGGCAGTTCTCATCAGAGCTTCTTGTCAACCTTGCCCAAGGCTTTCGTTTCCAGGCCCCCTCTTTGCCTGACGCCTTGCCTATACTATCAAGCGCCAACGCGGCGTTGGGCTTCCTCTTGTTGCGGAGCCACCAATCCCCTGCAAGCTTTGGTCAAGCACTGGACCCACCCAAAGCCCCACAACAGCGTGGGATCGAATCTCTCTGGGCTTGGCCAAAACCATGACCCGTCCTCCGGCCCGACGAGGTGTCCTGCTCCAGCTAGAAGCTCTGGCTTGGTAGGGGAACCCAGCGTGTGTGTATGTGGAACCTCTTAGAAAGAGTTCCTTCCAGCTCCACAGGATGGAAAGGATGGAAGGTGTATGCCGCTTGCTGTTGACTTCCAAGGGCAAAGGACGGATTGAACAAACCGTGAAAGCAGTGTACCCGCGAAGCAAGCCACCGAAAAAATACCCCGAGGCAGTTGCTTGACAACAGGTTCGCTTGGGTCATTGGACCCCATTTTCCTTGTATGGCACCTTTTAGGCAGTTATCCTCAATTAAAGGGCCGGACTCACATTTGCGTAGCTTATTCATGCCTAGAGTTTGACCGGTGCAGGTCATGTGTTGATGGCTCTTGCCGCTTCTCACGCATTCCAACTACTTGGTCGTGAGCTTGGGTTCGTTTAGGATCTACAGGATGGCTTTTGTTGCCGCTTGCACGCTGAAAAGACGCCGGTCAGGAGCTTGGAGCTGTTTGAATCTGCTCTTGCTCTGCGCCAGGACTTCGCCTTCCGGAGTTCGGAGGCGACTTTCCGGTGCGCAGCTTTTGAGATTTGAGCAGCTTTTGCGAGCGCAAAGGCACCGCACAGAAGCTTTGTGAAGCTGACGCATTCCGAAACCCACAGCAGAGGCTTAGTTCATTGGCACGGCGCATGAGAGTTTCTTCACCCCCACAAATTCCTCCCTTTCTTTGTTTCAACTTGCCAGCAGTTGTGCGTGCAATTCTTGCTTTGTATGTGGGTTGTGGCATGGTCAGCAGGCTCTTGGCAGTAGGTTTTGACCATGCGGCCTCGGGATCGTCTTGCGATCGGTAGCCTGAATGTGGGGATGCCCCATTGCGGAGCGTTTTTCTTTGCAGAACATCACGGCTTCAAGGTTCGCAGGCAGCTTCCAGACTATATTTTGTTCTCATCATTTGCGCAGAAAGTCCCATAGCACGGACTACTTCAAGGACGGGTAGGTTCAGCGTTGCCTTCAGAATCTATGCGGATTAATATGTTGCATACGAACTTCATTTGGGCTCAGCTGGCATCAGGTGTCCCCTACTACACCCCTGGGCGTAGTGACTGATGGCTGTGTGGCTCATTCGCAGGAGGGGAGCACACAAGCACGGGAGCCCCACATTCCCAAGGTAGCCTAGGCCACATCTCAGCTTTCCTCGTGCCCTGGGTGTTTTTTCAGGACACCTCACAGAACCTCGGCTCAAAGACAGGGACGATCTGGGCTGGGAGTGGCAAATTCGTCGTCTCTCCATGGATTCACCCACTGGCCATAGGGCTGCCACCTGCTGATGGCCTGGGAAAAAAACTGAAGCTTTCAAGCAACGGAATCAACAGGAGTCGGCAATCCACCCAGTGCCAAGATTCCGAGCCAACCCCAGAGATTACCGAGCAACTCGAGCCCCAGTTGTTTCGGAGCTATGGGGTCGTGTGAACCCGTTCCCGTTTTGGCGTTTCCTGACATCAGAAACTTAGCCATACACTCTGAGAAGCAGCCAGAATTCTTATTTTGCTTAGGGCTGGCCAAACTCTGCATTTCCATCCCTGGAAAGAGCCATCCAGGCCTTGCCCTTTAGATCAGAGCGATCTGCGACCGAAGGCCGCCGGGCCAGGCGTGGTTCCCACTTCGTTCCGACAGTGGAGCACATTGGGGGACAGATCTCTCTGGAGCATGGTTCGCAAATAGATTGAGGAGGCTTGCACGATTCTCATACGGAATCCAGGGTTTCCGTGTCCCCTTTCGCGAACATGTTCGCATCCGATTTGCATCTCGTTTGCGAAGCTTGAAGTTTTGCACTTGTTTTCGTAGCCCTTGCGCGTCACCCCTGAAAAAGGGGCAACGAGCAGCGGGGGTTTTTGCCGCAGACCCAGATGCATTCAAGTCCTTACCTTTCTCCACGTTGGAAGGACTGACTCACAGATCAGGACCACCGCAACACCCAGTGTTTGTGTCCGAGCATGCGGCTAGATGTGGCTCACTTGAGAGGCTGCCTCTCAAAATGCCTTAGGTGTGCCTGGCAAGACACCAGGCAGGTTGATTTTAGGCGCATGAACTCACCGCAGAATGCGTCTGAGGCTCAAGGTGTCCAGTTATGCATCATAATACCGAACCTACAGGGCATGGGCCTAAATGCTTGGAGCCCGGATATTGCGCCGAGCCTTGGGTGTGGTGTGCATGCTTGCCTCTGACAGGTGCTGATGCCAATCATGTCGTTCTGGGCCAGGGGCTCTTGGATCCGATATCATTTTGAACAACTTGTTCGATCGCTAATCCCATTGCTTAGCTGCTTGGTTCCCCTTCTAAAAGCAGACAGCTTTCTGAAGGGGGGGGGAGGACGGTCCGTTAATTGCCCATCAGCGATGTGCCTGTCACGGCCAAAGGCTTGGCTGGGCATGGTCCACGCAGTCTTCATGTAGCCGACGGTTTTTTCGCTTACGGGCGCGCATGGCAATCGCCGTGATTTGGACGCTCACAGTCGCAAAGGTGACAGAAACAACTGCATGTTCTCTGCTTGCTTCGCGGCCCAATGAATGATGCTGTTGTTCGATGTTTTGTTTGGCAACATGTTTTCTTGTGCTGTTCATTTGTTTAAAACTCAACATTTGTTTACACACTTGCTTCAAAATGATTTGGCCGCAGACATCGCAGGCAGGAGTGAGTCATGTTTCTTTGTACCAAATAGGATCACAAAACGGAATTTAATTGTAAACAGCTAGGCCACGCGGGTCACGGAAACTTTTGTCCCATCGCTTGCCATTGTGCGTATGCCACGATTACGGGGAAGCCTTGGAGGGACGCCTGCAAGGACAAAATGGGTGATAGCTTACATTGAAGAACTCGTTTTGAATTAGTGGCAGCATCTGGTTTAGCAAACATAATTCCAAAGTCCTGATAGCCGTTCTTGCCGCTGGAAAGCATGAACATTCGCTGTTACCACCAAATTGTGTCCGCACTGCCCTTACTCAAGTCTTCCGAAAACACGGGGTAGTTGACTCTGAACTGAGTTTGGAAGAGAGACGCTGCAAACAGAGTCGCTCGTGACGTTGTGTTTGCTTGATTAGTTGTCGCAAAGGCTCGCAGAATGTGCGGCCAGATGACTGGGATGCCAACCCAATGGGCAAATGCATGCAGTTCTTGTACGTGTTTTTCCATTTTCGAGCTCAGCCAGATCGCAGCAGACCCACACCATCACTTTATGCCAATGTGACAGTTCCTTACATTTGGGCACATGTGTTTTTGGTTGTCCAGATCATTTTTCAACGGAACGACTTCGGGAGCTTGTTTCAGCCAACTTAGCAGGGACTGTATGCAATGTTTTCTTGGCAAAATGCAAAGAACCAACCACCAAGATGGAGGCCTTGACGGTGCTTACGCCGAACCCATACATCTCAATTGCTAATCACATCACTTTCAACTAGCAGCGCGCCGGTCAAATTTGGCACGAATCCAACCGACTGGAACGCATCGGGGGATCTCGCCTTGTCTCGTTGCCATGGGCCGCGGACCGTCCGAGCACCCAGCTGGCACTCTCAGGGGGGAGAGGTGCGGTTTCTGACAAAACGGGGTGAACAGCAGTCCGTTTGTGAAGAGCTCCTCGATTCGCATGACGGAAGTGCTTGCCAGCAAGTAAAATAGCAATCATTTCTTGGGAACCCTTTGATTTGCACCCTGCTCAGAATGCACCTTTTGAGTAAGACGTCATGAACGGAACCCAATGGAGACCCAAAGAACAAAACCCAGCAGGAGCAAACCAGCCCTTTATGGTTTGAGGGAAAAAGCGCTCAGAATACAACTTTTGAGTCAGACTGGGGTGACCCCTCAGACGCATGGAGAGGTTCGCTGAGTGGATCAGGTTCGGAAGGGTTTAGTATTGGTTTGTCGTTCGGTTGAAATATACGTTGGCAATTGTGTGGTCGGATGTTATTATTATTAGGGGAAAAAGGAAAAAGGATTGCAAAGGTTGCTTGTGGCCATGCGCCAAATGCTCTGCCTGTTCCGCTTTTGGGGGAGCCAAAGGCTGAGCATGGGCTGTGCTTTGCCCCTCAAAACATTCGCGTTCAGACAATGTTCAATTGGTTTTTTATCCCGCCAATCATGTTGCCACCCTCGAACTCAGGCAGCAGGAAGGCCCATGATTGACAGATGGCCATGGGTCAAAAACCCGTACCCCCAGTCAACATCCCAATCCCCTCTAAAATAGACTAAATTGGGTGGTGCACCTACCCCAAAATGGTACCATTGGTTTTGACCCACAGCCAGATCATCGCTTGCCCGTTTTGTTAGATGCTAACCGTTGCGACTGCAAAGGCGCATGTTCTGATAAGGGGGTTCCCAAATTCAGGAGCAGCACAGCGTTGACCGCGTCCCATGTTGCACGACAGTTCATTCTGAAGGCGTTAAACATGTCGATGCGTGAGGAGTTTGTGTATTTGGTTTTTAAGTGGGCCCCCAGTTGTTTTTTTCCAAGGTTTGGCGCGGCCATTTTGCTGCGTGGTGCTGGGGCTTTGGCTCGGCCAGTCTGTCTCCCAGTCAGTCGGTCGCCCCGGTCGGTCGGTCGGTCGGTCGCCCCGGTTGGTCGGTCGGTCGGTCGGTCTCTCAGTCGGTCAGTCGCCCCGGACGGTCGGTCAGTCGGTGGATTGGTCGGTCGGTCAGTCGGTCCCTAAACGAGCCACCCTGAACCAACCCTAAACAAACCTAAGCCAGCTTTAAACCACCCTAAACCAACCCTAAACCAACTGAACCAGCGCTGAACCAACCCTAAACCAACCGAAACCAGCCCCCCGTAAACTCCTAAACCAGCCCAAAACCACCCCAAGCCAACCCTAAACCAGCCTTAAACCAACCCTCAACCAAGCCTACACCAAGCCTAAACCAGCCCTGAACCAACCCTAAATCAACCCTAAACCAACCTTAATCCAAGCCTAAACCAACCCAAATCATCCCTAATCCAGCCCTAACCCCACCCAGCAGCGTTCTGGAAACCAGTTTTTTCTAAAAGGTAAACCCTCTGCAGCTTTTCCGGGTCCGGACCACCGCGCCGAACACAGGAAAAAAAATGGCCGCGCCGAACCTAGGAAAAAAACATTCCGCCGTTTTCAGGTTTCATTATGTTTGTTTAGTGGGTCATGAGCCCGGATGGTTTTCTCGAATCATATTTTTTCCTGCACGATTGCATGGCTCAATCCTAGTCCAATTGAACAGGCAAACATACGCCAATACGTTGTACAAGGGATCTGGTCTTGGACAACACTGAAGGGATGCGTGCTGTTTCAAGCGTGGTTAACACTGATTGTTTTAGGTTTTCGAACACCGTCAAATCACATGTCCGATGACCTAATTGCCTTGATAGATTTGGCATTTTCTTCTTTGTGGCCAGAACCCTCTACTCGAGGGCACACGTTGCGACTCGGGCCTTGGGTTGCTCTTCAGGCAGAACCCCAAAGGGGTGAAGAAGGCCTGGCGGGAGCGTCGGCCATCCAGGAAATGGCAGCCAGAGCACCTGCTAAGGTGTGCAGCCTCGGTTGGCTTTTGGTAGCCCTGCTTTTAGTTCATGCGTTGAGTACAAGTTAGAGCCAGGATCATTCGAACATGATGCATGCATGGCTCGACTGATTAAAATCATGTGGTTGCGG